CAGGTCCCCGTTACCTGTTTCTGAACCCTTGTAAGTCGCTGCAGCGTCGGCGGTGTGCTCTGCGGGCGTGTGTCCGGCGGCCGTGTGCGCGGTGGGCATGGCGTCCGCAGCGTAACTCGTGTATGGAGCTGCGAACAGCGGGCGTGAGTGGGAAATTGAAATTTTAGCCGACGAATCGACGATGGAAAACGCTGACAACGTTTACCATCGTCGATTTTAATCGATTTATTCTAATAATTGTTGCAGCTCTACAGAATACCAATGTATAATACACTGGCACACTGCTGAACATTAGCAGCTATAGAGGAACAACAAATCCCAGCAATAATACATTATACAGGTTTAATGTTTAATGTATTATTGCTGGGATTTGTTGTTCCTCTATAGCTACTAATGTTCTGCAGTGTGCCGCTTTAAAAAAAAACAACACACAGGAAACTTTAAAAAGCTCCCGGCCGATCTTGACTTACCTTGAATGACGGTGTTGTCGGCGGGCAGCGGCGTTGTTCGTTGTCGGTGGGCAGCGGTGAGTCGGGAAGCTCACCAGGAGGAGAGGGCCAGACACATGTCCTCAGCGTGGGCGCTGGGCGTAAGCGGTATACCAGCGTAGGCGCGAGCGGCTTAACCGACGTTGGCGTGGCGTAAGCGGGAAATTTGAATTTTAGCCCGACGAATCGACGATGGAAAACTTTGACAACGTTTTCCATTGTCAATTTCAATCGACTTAATCGAATAATTGTTGCAGCTCTACTTCTAACATGGGTATACTTTCTGACAACGTTTACCATCGTCGATTTTAATCGATTTAATCTAATAATTGTTGCAGCTCTACTTCTAACATGAGTATACTTTTACTCTCAGGCTATCCATTTAAAATTCAATCAGGGTAAAAAATAATACTTTTGAGTAAAAGTCTTCAATGTGGAATTTTCTAAAATTGCAGTTTTGCATCCCTTACAGACTCTGGTGGTATAATAGCCTGGAGACAATTTCTGGCTTTTCCCATCTCTTTGGCAATTATAAAGTCAATCAACATAGTTTCTCTTCCTTTGCACATTCTTTCACTGTAATTAGGCAGCTACATTTGTAGTCCTGACTTACCAGCGGCGAGTGAGGGAGCCTGCCGTGCCAGCGGCGAGTGAGGGAGCTCACAGAGGAGAGCAGCGGCGTGCACGGCTTCAGCGTGCGGGGGGCGTGGCTTATGCGTCCTGTGGGCACGGCGGGAGCAGCGTGCGGTGGGTGTGGCTTATGCGTCCTGTGGGTACGGGGGGACGGGAACAGCGTGTGACGTGTGCTTCAGGCCGCGTGTGGAGCCCCGAACAGGCAAATCAATCGATAGCCGGCGAATCGACGATCGAAAACGTTTTCAATCGTCGATTTTAATCGACTAAATCGATTAACTGTTGCAGCTCTAGTTTTCACATGTTGAGCATTTTACAGAGCGTAGGAACGCGCTGTAAAACGCCCAGGTGTGAAACAGGTCTGAATCTCACTTCCCCCTCCCCTATCTATCTCCGGCGGCCGACCGTGTACCGCTCCCGGCTGCCTCTCTCTCTGCACCTGGGCTTCCATTTTGCCGTGGTCTTCGGGGCCCCCCCCCCTCTTGTGGGGGATCCGTGACCACAGCAAATTAGGTTAGAGAGCACGGAGCAAGCCAGAGAACACTTCTCGGCTTTGCTTCGTGTGAATAGTGACACAGGAATGCAGCCTTCCTGTCACAGGAGAACGAGCACAGTGCTGTGCTAGAACTCCTGTGTTGGAGGTGACAGGGTCAATAAAGAGAACCTGTCACCTCCAAAAGCTATCACACAAGGGTTTGTTAACCCTTGTGTGATAGCAATAAAGTCAAGTGAATAAAAAAAAAGTAGAAAATAAAATATATAACATTTAAAAATGTAACTACATAAAAATGGGAAAAATACAAAGGCGATAAAGTAAAAAATAATAAAAATAAATAATAAAAATTCAAAATATTACAAAGCAAAAATAAAAAAGTAAAATAAAATCTAAACCAAGCCCTATCATTTGCATGCAAATAAATGCATGCATGGGGCATTGTGTGTGTGCACGCGATCCATTACCGCATGGCAATCATGCACAAATCCGTGTGGGTGGCTGGGCGGTCACAGAATCTCACACCACCGCTGATCGTGCCATTATTGTCTAATGGCACCCCAGTAACGCCAGATTGCGCAGTTTCCCACGGCAATAACGCCCGTGCATTCGCATATAATCGCAGTTGAAAACACAGCACAGCGTGTCGTGAAAAAAGGTACATGTACCTTTTTTCAGCGATTACCACGCGGATATAACCGCATTGAAATCAAGGGGGCCGCGTGGCAACCGCACACGGTCGGTCAAGTCTGCACCCACCCCAAAGGGTAAATTTGCTTTCCCAAGTAATTTTGGAAAATGGAATTACCTGAACAAATCTGGCCCCCTCCCCCTATACTTACCTTTCAGGGAACGGTCCTTCCCATCCGCCAGTATGGGTGTACTATCTGTACCTGTGCCATGTATTCTGAATTTCGCTCGCAAATTGCAAGCACTCGTTGGTCAGCACCATCACTGACCAATGAGAAGCTCTTCTTGGCACTGCTAAATACGGTTTTGGTTAATTTTTTTCTTTTTTTGCACCAGGACAAGTAGATTTCCATGTGGGACAAGTAGATCGGGCCCCTCGCTTTAGCCCTGGGACAAGTAGTTTTTTTTTTTTAAATTTCCACACCCCTGTTATAGGTTAGCTTTTCTGTAAACGTGACCCTGTGACCTCTAGCCCAGCATTGGTTTTTCACCTGACCACTAGGAATAAAAAGTCCTTTGACCATTGAAAAAATAGTTCGCTCATAAAACAATTTACAGTATTTCCTTCTTTCAGGAAGACCGATTCCGCAACCCTTTAACCACGCTGGATTCTGAGCACTTCCCGTCCCTGATGACCTTGACGCCGAAGGCCCAGCAAGGACCTGGACTCTCTCGTCTTAAAAATGCCTGTATCGCTTATTGATATCTTAACTTAGCCGCAGTGAATTTCAACTACTTGTAGCACAATAAGAATATTTAATAAATCACCCGATTGCCACGTAACTAGAGTTTGCGGGATATCTTTGTTATTTATAGGCAGGCTAAATAAACAGGCAGCACCAGGACATCACAGGGCGGAGAATGAGAACTACCCCTCCCAGCCGTGAACTTTGTAGTCACGCCCACGTGGTCAAGATATTTCTAGAAGTGGGGCAGCGTGAGTGCCTGTTTGTAGCTGTACATTTCACAGGTCTACAGCTTAATCCCTGCGCCTTGCTGGTTGTCCTACAAAGTTGCAATGCTGAACGCTAGTAGAATTGTCGGCCGTATGTTGGCTTCCTTGCCACGAGGCGGAGCCTGCAAGGTATAGTATTATTTTTTTCTAATCTTTATTCCGGGTGATTTACAGTTTTTGTAATAAAGCATTACGCTCCCTGGGACCGAGGCCTGCGTGACACACTTCAAATCTGCTTCTTTCCATGTTCATAGCATTTAGTCTATTTCCGTATGGGTATAGTTGTCCTACTCAAATTAAGTGTATCTGGGATAATTGTGCTTGCTGTAAGTGATGATTAGAGTCTTGGTGCATTAACACAGATTTATAGCTGCATTTAGTTGTTTTTGGCCGGTTGAGGCTGAAAAGCTGAATAAGTGTATGAATGGGTCACGTGTATCACGCTATATCCGGCAAGGTTACAGTAAACGTCATTGGATTGCACCATCCTCTATGGAGGACGATGGTAGCCTGAACAGTCATACCACTGTTAGACGCTAAAAAAAACTTGGTGGCCTTTTGATTCTTGTTTAACCACTTGAAGACCAGGTGTTTACACCCCCTTCCTGGCCAGGCCATTTTTCAGTATTCAGAGCTGGGGTATGATGTTTGTTCCGTCATGCAACGCTGTACTGAAATGACTTTTATACCATTTTTTTGGGGGCAGATAGAGCTTTCTTTTGGTGGTATTTAAACACCACTGGTTTTATTTTTTACTATAATTGGGAAAAATTGCAGAAAATTTTGGGAAAAAAAAGTTTTTGTTTTTTTTTAACATTGTTAGAAAACATTTTATTACCCAGTTTTTTGGTAAAATATAAAAGGTCGGGTAAATAGACACCAAACATGTCGAGCTTTAAAATTGCGCGCACCTGCGAAATCGCAGAAAACTCTACCGTACCCAAAATTGGCCATAGGCGACACTTTAAAAGCTTTTACCGATCATCAGTTTAGTGTTATCAGTGATTGATGGCCCTAGAATGATTGCTCTCATTCCGAGGTTTGCGGCGACATGTAACATGTGCAGCGTAATGGGCGCAATCGTCTTTTTTGCATGTATGCGCCCCAGACACATGTTTGCATGAGTGTATGTATGGGTTGGAAATTAAAATTTATTTTATTTTTTTTCACTAAACTTGATTGCCATCAGCTTCTGAAGCTGGAGACTGACACAAGAATGCGGAAGTGATGTATTATACAACACTTCCGCATTCTTGGAGAGGGGACCGGAGGGAGCTCGTGTACCGAGCTCTCTCTGATCCCCCTGTGGCAGTGGCCGTATGCTGATCCCGGGCTCGCACCGGGCACAGCGGAGCCCGGGATCAGCGGGGCAACGGCGCGGGGTCACACCGATCGGCACCGCATACAGGCGATCTGCCGGCTCTACAGCCGGCGGATCGCTTGTATGGTAACAGGCATCGCTGCCTGTTTTTAAATGTTGCCCATTTCCTGCGCCGAGCACGAGGGGGCGTGTCTGAGTGGACGTCTAAAGACGCCCGCTCAGATCTAGAGAGCTCCCGGCCGGCCGGCCCGGAGGCAGTTAACCTTACTCTTTATGTGCCTGTGAGTTTTTTTTTTTTGGTCTAGGTCAGTGGTTCTCAACCTGTGTGCGGAGTGGGTGATCTCTTTTATGGAGGCCAGACTCCTCGGTACCCTTCCCCGCAACCAGGAAGTTTGGGGAAACCCCCTGTTTGATAGCATTTTGAGGTGACAGGTACTCTTTATTGAACCTGTCACCTCCAACACAGGAGTTCTAGCAGGCACTGTTGCTAGAACTCCTGTGACAGGAACGAGCAGAGGCTGAGGGAGGTGACAGAGCCTGTCACTACTCCTCGCCTCCCGCTCTCAGCGCTCCATGCTCTGTCCCCGCCCACTGCTCTCAGCGCTCCACGTTCCATCCCTGCTCTCGGCACTCCACGTCCCCCGCTCGCAGCGGCGCTCGTTTCAGGAAAAGAAAACCAGCCCTGCTACTTGTCCGTAGCAGGGCTAGAACACGAAAAAAGCACTTGCTCGGAACTACAGGTCCCGGGCGATACGAATTCCACACCCCTGTGTATTATTTTGCTACCAAACTGACGTTTGGGTCGAAAAGCAGCCCCTGGTTGTTTGACACATTTGCACATCCCTTCACTGGGTGCTCGAGCACCGTATACATTGCCAGAAAGTTCTGCATTACTTGGACGACTTTCGCCTGGCAAAGTCCCCGCACAGGACACCGGGTGAACTCAGCTTATTGTTAGAAACATTTGACTCACTCAACGTCCCAGTAGCATCCCATAAGGTGGAGGGTCCCAGTACCGTCCTGACCTTTCTTTGCCGGAAGCAGTGCTAAATGTAGAAAACAAAATGTATACCTGCCCGGCACTACATGTCCTGGGTGCCGGGGGATAGCAATTTCACACCCCTTGTCCTCCTATAGCTGGTTGCCATTAGGCATTTCTGTATAATGTATTGCTGGAATTTGTAGTCCTCTATAGCTGTTGGTATTCTGCATTGCTGTATAATGTATCATTGGGATTTGTAGTCCCTCTACAGCTTGGAGTCAGTAGCAGAACTACCAGGATTGCAGCTCGAACTGGGCCCTGGCACTTCAACACTGTTCTAAAATCATTAGTCTGTATTGTTTTAGAAAAAATGTCACATGACACTAAAAAAAGGTATCGGCAAGTAGGGATGTCCCGATGCCACTTTTTCAGGCCCAAGTATAAGTACTTCCCCGCCTGTACTTGACGATACCAAATACTGATACTTTTTCTTAAAGGGACAGGTGACTTTAAATGATCCATAGTACAACTACATGTTATGTACTATGGATCATGATTTAACCTATTCACGTTAGCAGGGGAGAATTGTAACTCTATTGCTGGAGTGTAGTGGAGGTGTGTGCTGTCTGTATGTACTACATATACATTACACACGTCCAATACACTATAGCAATAGATTTACAGCCAGCCCCGTCCCAGCTTCCCTCACTAACTGTTTCACTCCTATCCCTGTTGCCTCACGCGGTGCCTCTTGTAGTCGGCGCTGGGCAGGATTGCTGCATCGCGTCTCGGTGCTCAGCTTGTGGGAGGCGCTCACATTTGTGCCCTGCTAACATGAATAGGTTAAATCATGATCCATAGTACATATACAGTACACACGTCCAGTACACTGCAGTAATAGTTACAATTATCCCCTGCTAATATGAAGGGGTTAAATCATGATCATGTACATAATAGTTCATAACATGTAGTTGTACTACGGATCATTTAACTAGGGATGCACCGATATCGATACTAGTATCGGTGCATCCCTAGTTAAATGATTCCGATTATTTGGGCAAGTACTCGTACTCGCCCAAATGCTCCGATGCCTAGCACGGGTACTTCCGGTATCAGGAAGCCGGGCAGCTTGTATTACACGCTGCCCGGTTTCGCGATTGACCGGGAAGTGGCTCCATGCTCTCGTCACTTGTGATAAGAGAGCATAGAGCCGACTTCCCGGCCAATCAGGAAGCCGGGCAGCGTGTAATGACGCGCTGCCTGGCTTCCTGATTGGTCGGGAATCTGGCCTCGTGAGGTAAGGTTACCTTACCTTAGTATGTGCAGCCTGTCACCCCAGGGGCCTCTCCAGCGAGAATGTGGCTTTCGTCCGGTACCCAGCCAGAGCCGTCCATTCAGGAAGCTGGGCGCCGTCTAATGACGCAACGCCCTGCTTTCTGATTGGCTGGGAAGCTGGCTTCATGCTCCCTCGTCATCTCATGACAAGAGAGCATGGAGCTGGCCTCCCGGCCAATCAGAAAGCAGGGCGTCGCGTCATTAGACGGCGCCCGGCTTCCTGATTGGCCAGACGGCTCCGGCTGGGTACCGGATGAAGGCCGCGTTCTCGCTGGAGAAGCCCCGGGGTGACAGGCTGCACATACTAAGGTAAGAGGGGACTTTCTTGTTAATCGGGAAGCCGGGTGGCGACTCTTTACACGCCACCTGGCTTCCTGAATGGGACTTCCGTTACTCGGTAATTGATATCGGCAAGTACCGGAAAAAAATTATCGGTACCAAAATACCGGTATCGGTGCATCCCTAATTTAAGCCATTCATGTTAGCAGGGGATACTTGTAAATCTATTGTTGCAGTGCATTCTATATGTAGTATATAGTACATGTATAGTACATATAGAGTGCCTGCAACAATACATTTACAATTATACTCTGTTAACATGAATGGGTTAAATGATCCCTAGTACAGGGCTACATACAGATCATTTAATCCATTCATGTTAGCAGGGCACAGTGGGGGGGACCCTTCGGAGGTGATCCTCCTTTTGGGTGTTGGTTGCTGAGTGTTGTAGTGCCTCTTATTAAGACAGGTTTTGTATGTGTTGCTCCACCAGTGGTGTGGCTTATTGGAGGCAAGAGCTGCAGTGCAAATACATTTTCAATCTGCAAAGCTGCAACCCCAGACAATTAGGCAACCTAATCTCTCCTTCCTAAGGTGGCCATATACTCTACAACCATCGCAAGACCTTAAGGTGCCCATACACCTTACGATTATCGGACGATAATCGTATGCGATCGACTTTTCGTCCGATAATCGGATGTGTGCATTGCAGTGTCTGACCGACAATACTGTACAATCGTACGACTTGACGGTCAAGCATGTTAGAAAACTTTGCTAGATCGTACGATTGTCGTAAGGTTGCTGGCGTTTCCGTCCGTCAAAAGTTGTACGATGTACACTGCGCTTGCGCTAACGAAAATACGGCAAATCAATTACCGCATTTCGTCCAGGTGCTTTTGGTTAATTACGGCTAAATGATTCTTGCGATCATCGGGGCAGGATGGGGCTGCCGTACGAAAATCGTACGACTATTCGATCATCGGACGAAAAGTTTTGTCCGATAATCGTAAGGTGTATGGGCACCTTTTTAGTCTTGCGATGGTTGTACAGGGATTAAAAAAACGTACGATCTGCCTATCTTGTACAGGCAGATCGCACTCTCGATCATTGCAAGCCCGCCCCCCTGAGGGGCGGGCTTCCGATGACCGCAATGCTGAACGGGCAGTGTGCGCACGCGCACACCGGCCCGTTCGGCATTTGTCTCCCGAGCAC